GGATCCTAGACATCATCTTTCAAGAAATTATCAAGGAAAATTGCTCTGATATTTTAGAACCAGGGGGCAAAATAGAAATTGAAAGAATCCACTGATCACCTCCTGAAAGAGATCACCAAAGGAAAACTCCTAGGAATGTTGTAGCCAAATTCCAGAACTCCCAGGTCAAAGAGAAGATATTGCAAGTAGCCAGAAGGAAACAATTCATGTATTGTATAAACATAAGCAGGATAACACAAGATTTAGCAGCTTCTACATTAAGGGTCCAAAGTACATGGAGTATGATATTCCAGAGGGCAAAGGAGTTAGAACTACAACCTAGAATCACCTACCCAGCACAATTGAGTATAATCCTTCAGGGTAAAAAATGGTCATTCAATGAAATAGGGGACTTTCAAGCATTCCTGTGGAATAGACCAGAACTGAATAGAAAATTTGACCTTCAAATACAAGACTCAAGTGAAACATGAAAGAGGTAAACAGGAAAGAGAAATCATAAGAGACTTATTAAGGTTGAACTGTTTACATTCCTGCACGGAAAGATGATATTTGTAACTCATGAGTCCTTTGTCAGTATTAGAGTAGTGGGAAGGAAAAAATTATATGTATGTATGTATAGATAGATATGTAGAGGGCACAGAGTGAGTTGAAGATGAAGGGGTTATATCTGGAAAATAAAATTAAGGGGTGAGAGAAGATTATACTGGGAGAAGGAGAAAGGGAGAAGTAGAATGAGGTAAAATATCTCACATGAAACAGAAAAGAAAAGGCTTTTACAGTGGAGGGGAAATGGGGGAAGGTGAGAGGGAATGAGTGATTCTTATTCTCATAGGATTTGGCTTAAGGAGGAATAACATACACAATGGGGTATGGAAATCTATTTTACCCTACAGGAAAATAAGGGGAGAAGGGGACAAGAGAGCAGGGGGTTGATAGAGGGGAGGGCAGATTGAGGGAGGGGATAATCAAAAGCAAACACTTCTGAGGAGGGACAGGGTCAAAAGGGAGAATAGAATAAATGGGGGGTAGGATAGGATGAAGGGAAATATACTTAGTTTTTCACAACAGGACTACTATGGAAGTGTTTTGCGTAACTACACATTTATAACCTATATTGAGATGCTTGCCTTTTCAATGAGGGTGGGTGGGGAGAGAGGAAGGGAGAAAATTTGTAACCTAAAGTTTTAAAAACACATGTTAAAAAGAAAAAAAAAGAAAAGAAAAAAATTTTTTTTTTAAATTCCATTATCATTTTTTTCTTTTTCCTATGTGGATTAGGATTTCTCACCTACTTAATTCAGAAGCAGTATTATAGTCTCTGTATATGACTGTTCTGATTCTATTGCTCTCCAAGGAAAAGATTTTAGGAAAATTATTTCTTTTCTCCTGGCCTGTTTATACATATGTAGAATGAAATTACTAGATTAAATAATCTGCAAGTTCTCTTCTAGCCCTAACATTCTGTAACAGGCAAATCCATTTAAATAACCATGGATTTAATGTCTGCTTTGTGAGAGGTCCAGTGCTAGATTCCAGGGGTGTAAGGATGAAAAACTACATGCTTTTTGCCTTTCACATGCTTATGGTCTAGGGAAAGAGAGTGTGTGTACACAGGCATAACATAAGGTGGAAAGTAATAGGAATAAAGGATAGAGCCAGAATTGGAGGATGGAACAAACACTAACAACTCAAAGAGTGAGAGGGAATCAAATGTCTTACGCAGAAAGTCGAGAGCCTTATAGGAAGAGGATTTTTTTTCTTTTTTTAAATTTATTTATTTTTTTAGTTTTCAACATTTACTTCCACAAGATTTTGAGTTCCAAATGTTCTCCCCACCTCATCCTTCCCCCCACCCCAAGATGGCATGCATTCTGTATACCCCTTCCCCAAATCTGCCCTCCCTTCTATCTCTCCCCACCTTCTCTTATCCCCTTCCCCTTCTATTTTCCTGTAGGGTAGGATAGATTTCTATACCCCATTTCCTGTATTTCTTATTTCCCAGCTGTATGTAAAAACAATTTTTTTTACTTTTGTTTTTAAAACTTTGGGTTCCAAATTTTCTCCCTTCCTCCCTCCCCACCCACCCTCATTGAAAAGGCAAGTAACTCGATATAGGTTATACATGTATAGTCATGCAAAACATAGGAAGAGGATTTTAATAGGCGGGGAGGAGGAGGTAATACATTCCAGGTATGGGGAATAGTCTGCATGAACGCATAGATGTGGGAGGCAATGTGTGGCATATAAGGGATCACTAGTAGTACAGTCTGTGGCAGCTAGGTGGTGCAGTGGATAGAACACTGGGTTTGGAATCAGGAAGACTCATCTTCATGAGTTCAAATCCAGCCTCAGACAGACACTTATTAGTGGGGTGATCCTGGGCATGTTGCTTGATGCTATTTGACTCGATTTCCTCATCTGTAAAATAAGCTAGAGAAGGAAATGGCAAACCACTCCAGTATCTTTGCCAAGAAAAACCTCAAATGGGGTCATGAAGAGTTTGACACAACTGAACAACAAACAACACGAAGTGACCAAGGGGGAAAGCTAGGACTAGAACCCAGAGTACTACCATCTCCTAGTCCGGTACTATTTGACTATACCCCAAAGGGGCCTTAAAGGTCATGTAATCCAGCCCTGTCATATTTTCAGGGGGAAGGTGGGGAGGAGTGGTTCTATTCATTGATCCTGAGAGCTAGTACAAAAGAAAACTATCCTATCCCAATTTCTACTGGAAGAAAACCAAATGTCCTAAGCATGTACACAAGCCAGAGATTTGCCTGTGCTGCTAACTCCAGGCAGTAGCCCTTGATAAGAAGTCCTTTTTAGGAAAGGAATTAAATGGGGTGGCTAAAGTGGCCTTTAAAAAAAAAAAAGCCCACACAAGGCATCAATAAAGTGGAGCTAATGCTCAGAACAGAAGTATTACTACACAGTTGCATAGGCTTCCTGTGGCTGCCAATATAGACTAGCATCTGGCTACACACACAGCAATGCTGAAAAGAGAACCCCACTCACTGGGGATGGAAATAGAAACATGGCCACAAAAGGTGGCCACACACCCTGAGAAACTCCAGCCAACCTTAGATGGCTCAAATGGCCATCCTGGTCATCTGATTGAACAAAAGCACTTACCCATGTTCTTCCCATCTTCTGGCTGGCAAACAATGTGGTTTGCTTTTCCAGTGATTTACTTATTTGTTGCTTTTTAAGTCAGAGCACATCAATGAGATCTAAGTAAAAGGGAGTTTTGGGTTCAGCACTCCCCTGGGAGAATCAACAAATGACTCAAAATGAAACTCTTTTTTCCCCCTTCATGTAATATTTTGGTTTTCCTTTCTTACACAGCAACCAGGCAAATGATAGCAACTTTAAAAAGTGATAAATATAAAACGAAGAAGTGAAACCCTGCAGACACCTGAAACTCTTCAAGCCCGGCAGCCTGAGCTTGTCCCACTGCAACACAACAGAAATAGCCCTGGGCTGGGTAGCTAGACTTTGTTTTGCTACATGACTGCATATGCAGCTAAGTGATATCAGGTCCTGAGGGTCCTCTCCTTTGATGAGTTAGGCACACAAAGGACTGCATTGGGATGTAATCTGATCTCGGGGAGTTAAGTCCTAGACAAACTGCAACTGGGAGGAAGTGATAAAAAGAATTTCCTGCACACAGCTGCCTGAGATAACACTTTCCGCGGCATGGAAAGAGAGACAGTAACAAGAGAGACAGAAACAGAGACAGACAGAGACAAACAGAGAGACAGAGAGAGATAGAGAAAGTGAGAGACCCAATTATTACAGAATTGAAAGGGAACTGGTCTGCTCTTCATAAATAACCCTTTGTTTTTCCCATGGCCACTGTGAACATCTCTTCAAAGCCATCTGTGATCATACACTTACCACTTCTGAGCAATACCTACCATTCAGCACCGGCTGTTTGGTTGTGGTTTTTATTTGTTGTTTTATTAAAGTAATAGCATACTTAACTGTCATTCAGAATCTAAATCTCAGATGCCTTACTTGGCAATAAATGCTTCCTTAATTAAATCTATAAAGACTTAGATTGAGTAGCGCTTTATGGCCATTACATAGTAATAGCCATTACTATGAGAGTCTGTATGGTGTAGTATAAAGAACTGGAATAATGGCCTTGGGATAAGGAATAATAATAATTAGAGCTGGCTTTTTACGAAGGTTTGCAAAGCACTTCACATTTACAAGGGGTCTCAAAAGTCAGGGGAGTTTAAGATTTTAATAGCTGCTTGAAACTTTTAATAGCTATTAATCTTTATAGCTATTTAGTAGCTATTAAAAGCTTAAAACTGCCCCTAAAACCTGCAGGACCCCTTATATTATCTCATTTGATACAACAACCCTGGGAGGTGGGTGCTATTATGATCCCCATTTTACACATGAGGAAACTGAGGCAGAGACAGGTTAAGTGGCTTGCCCAAGGCCACCCAACTAGTATGTGTTTGAGGCAGGATTCATATTCAGGTGCATTACATCATTAAGAAAGGTCTGGCTTCAAGACCACTTCTGACCCATACTGTCAACTGACCCTTTTGTTGTTATTTAGTCATTTTCAGTTGTGTCTGACTCTTTGCGACTCTATTTGGGGTTTTCTTGGCAAAGATACTGGAGTGGTCTGCCATTCCCTTCCCCAATTCATTTTACAAATGAGGAAACTGAGGCAAACAAGGTAAAGTGACTTGCCCAGGGTCACACAGCTAATAAGTACCTGAGGCCAGATTTGAACTCAAGTCTTCCTGACTCCAGGCTTGGGGCTCTATCCACTATGCCACCCAGCTGCCCAATGTAACCCCAGGCAAGTCACTTAACCTCCAGGCAACTCTCTAAGACTAAGTTGTCTAGAAGGTGCTGATATGCATTGGCAGAGGAAGTTCCTCACCCTAGCTACACCCTAGCTAAATGAAATCCCACTGTACAAATAAATAAGCAAATAAACTAGTGCAGCTGTTACTGCATGAGGGGATGGAGAAGTGCACTAAGAACTGAGGGAATCAGAAAAGGTCTCTTGTAAGACAGATGGGACACCTGAACTGAGCTTTGAAGGGAACTAGGTATTCCAAGCAGTGGTGGCTAAGAGGAAAAGCATTCCAGGTGTGGAGGATGTGCAAAGGTAAGAAGGGGGACATATAATATCCTGTATGAGGAACAAGTACAGCAGATGAATTGGACTGGGATATAGAAGGCGCAAACTGACATTAGCCTGTAGAGATAGATTGGAAACAAATTGGAAAGGGTTTTAAATGCCAGAGGGGAGTTTGGATCTTTTCTTAGTGAGACTAGGGAACCACTGAAGCTCCATATGCAGGGGAGTAGCACGGTCACACCTGTGCCTTAGGAACCCAAATTGGCAGCTGTGTGAAGGATGAATCGGAAAGACTAGAAGCAAGAACAGGTTTTAAGCGAGCCAAGGATGGGGTTGATTTGAAGCTCAAATAAAATAATGTATTAAAGTGCTCCACAAATTGTAAAGCCTTACGTAAATGTCACTTATTAAGAGCTGACATGGGCTTTATGGTTATAAAGACCTTCACATACCTGACCTCATTTGATCCTTACAACCCAGTGAGATAGGGGGCATAGGTATCATTATCCCCATTTGACAGATGAAAAAACCAAGGGTCTGAGAGACAATGAAACTCCTCTGAGCTCATTGGATTAGTAAATAATGATCCTTGGCTTGATTCAGCTTAGTAAATTTTAGCTTGGCATCTATTATATACAAGGTACCCTGATAGGTCTGGACATACAAAGTTAGATAATCCAGTCACTGCCCTGGAGAAATTTCCAATCTGGTAGCACTACTAATTTCAAGCCCAAGTCTTCTGTTTCCTTGTCTGCACTGTTTGCATATCATGATTAGTACTTGCCTTCCTGAACCAAGCAACTAACAATGAATGATGTTTTCTGCAACTGGCTCAGGAAAGCTACCAGAGTCTACCTGAGAGCTCTAGATAATTAGTTTGAAAAGACATTGCTGCAAATTCACCAAAGTACCAGTGGTTCTGCCTTTACCTTTCCAAAACATGAGAGGGAAGAGTGAACATTCCAGGCAACCATCCTGAAGTTGTGCCTCTATGCACCAAACATCTGGATGGGGCAGCTAGGTGATGCAATAGGAAGAGCCCTGAGCCAAGAGGAGAACCTGACTTCAAATTCTACCTCAGACATTTACTAGCTGTGTGTCCCTGAACAAATCACTATCTGCCTCAGTTTCCTCAACTGTAAAATAGGGATAATCATAGCACCTACCTCACAAGATTGTTGTGAGGATCAAATGAAATGATGTTTGTAAAGTGCCTATTACATAGGAAGCATTATATAAATGCTAACTACTACCACTACCACTACTACTACTACTATTAAATTTTAGGATGGAAATCTCCCTAGACTCCTCTTCAGCAGGTACACCAGAATAGCATCAGTTCTCTGCTTTTAGAATGCCTTTTATTCAGGGACCTCAAAGAGAACTAAGTAACAGATTATGAGGAAGACAGAGAAGCCATTATTATTACTTCTTAACAAGAGGGAAATGGAGACTGAAGTGGTTAAAACCACTGAGCTAAGTTCATCCAAATAATTGTCTGGGTAGAGAAAGAGAATCTAGAGAAAGAGAATTCAAGATTCTTGCCCTCACCTTCTCCTCAGATATTTAATTAACTAATGAAATGTTACTCTACCATTTAAACCGGACCACAAGTCATAGGATATTAGAGGTGAAAGAGACCTTAGGCATCATCTAGCAGCCCAAGGGTTTTCCACCTTTTTTGTGTAATGGACCCCATTGGCACAGTCTGGCAATGCCTATGGATTCCTTCTCAAAAGACTGTTTTTAAATGCATGAAATGAAAGCCATCAGATTGAAAAGAAATCAATTCTATGGAAACATGGTTATTAAAATCTTAAAAAAAAAAAAAAACAACTTCAGGGGGCAGCTAGGTGGTGCAGTGGATAGAGCACTGACCTTGAAGTCAGGAGGACCTGAGTTCAAATCTGGCCTCAGATCGAACACTTCATTCACTTACTAGCTGTGTGACCTTGGGCAAGTCACTTAACCCCAATTGCCTCACTAAAAAAAAAAAAAATTAAAAAAAAAACAACTTCAGGACAAAAAAGGAAAAAAAAAGAAACAACTTCAGAGACCCCAAAATAAGCACCCCCAATCTAATCCAACTCTGCAGATGAGATTTGTCCAAAATTACACAGCGAGCTGGTAACAGAACTAAAACCAGAATCCCAGTCATCTGATTTCCAGCCCAAAACTATTTCTACTGCACAATTAATAAAAAAAAACAAACTGCCTCTCATTAACAAAAAGTCAATCCACCCACATTTCATCTCAGCTTCAGGGATGGAATTCTGGTTCTCCAACATGATCTTGGGTATGTCATTTAAGAGTTCTACCTCATTTTGTCCAACAGTAAAAGGGAGAACAAAAGGATCACTTAACTTTTGTCAAGAGCTTGATGAGGAAGATTATTTTCTTTTTTAAAAAAATCTTATTTAGTATTTTATTTTTCCTAATTACATGTAAAAACAATTTTAACATTTTTTTTCATATTTTGAGTTCCAAATTCTCTCCCTCCCTCCTCTCTCCCCCATTGACAAAGCAAGTCATTTGACCTGGGTTATACATGTGTAGACATGCAAAACACATTTCCATGTAAGTCATTCTGTAAAAGAAAACACAGATAAAAACCCCAGAAAAATAAAGAAAGTAAAGAAAAAGTATTTTTGATCTGCATTCAGGTTCTAGCAGTGAGAAAGATTATTTTTAAGCACTTGTCTGGTGCATTTATTGGACTTTGAGGGTGTGCTTCATGAACTCATCAGGCAAAGTTCTCATCAGACAAAAAGGGAAACAAAAGTTGAATTTTCAGAGGGAAGGAGACCTGTTCAAAGACTGGGAAGAATCCTGCCAATTAAATGCCTCAAGAACATTAAAAATTACTTCACCTTGAAATTCAAGGTTCTGAAGACTCTAGTGTGGAAAATTAGTATGGAATGACTAAATAATTTCTTCTAAAGATAATTAACAAGTAACTTTCCTCCATGACTTCAAGGGTTTTGAAAGGTAGAGGAGAAGAAAAAAAGGGGAGTGGAAGGAGGAAAACACAAAGGGGAGACTGGGGAGATGGAGGAGAGGAGGAGGAGATGGTAAGGAAGGAAAGGAGAAGAAAGGAAGCAGAGATGGAGAGAAGAAGAGGAAGGCACTCATCCATCCCACCCCTGAAGATTTCCAAACCCCTCTCTCCCTGAATCTCCTTTGAGATCTTGTAAGAATCTACTCAGTTTAAGCCCTGCTGATTCATCTGCTCCCTAAACACACTTAATTTAAAATAGCTGGTTACTGATTGAGGTTTGTTCTCCATCTTGAGGCCAGTGGGGACAAACAACCAGAAAGCTTCTGGGCTCAAGGGAGAGGTAAAGGGGTGTCTTCCGTTGGTTTTAAATTAAGTGAATCACCAAAGGAAAACACATCAGGAGCCAATTAAACACTGCATTTGACTCTCTTGACAACTTTCCACCTCATGTTGATTGGATTTTTAGTAACTTTTCAGGGAATTTTCATCTTGATAAGATATGACTAATGGGTTTGCTCAGGTCAGATCCTTGTTCCTGGAAGGAGAGAAAAAAAGGGAGATTATTCTGAGATCTTAATAGCCCTGCCAGATGTTTAGTGGGCTTAGATTTTCAAGTCCCACGTAGAACATATTTCAGCAAGGCAAGCACAGTGGGCCAGAGAAAGGCTTTGGGGGAACAGAGTTTGGGATCCACAGCTCCAGTTCATAAGAACATAGGCCATATCTGGGAGAAACCTTAGAGACCATATAGTTAAACCCCCTCCTTTTGAAGAAAAGGAAACTGAGGCCCAGAGAGTCTGGCCCAAGGACATGTAAATAGTAAGGAGTAGACCAAAGTCTTGAACCCAGGCTTGCTGATAGCAAGGCCAGCTTTCCTTCTATTATATCACACCACCTCCCAAGCAAGCAAGTAAAGCATCCCTTGAAATCCATTCAGAGTATGTTTGGGAAGTCATTGTGTGACGGTGGGCAAGTCACAACCTCTCTGCAATTCCATTCCATTTAATAAACATTTATGAAGCATCTAATATATACCAGGCACTGGCACACAAAATGGGAGTAATATTGGTAAAGCAGAGACAAAAAAAAATGTACAGAAAATGATTTTCAAACCTTAAAGCACTATATGTCAGCTATTGTGTTTTTTTAATTTGAAATTTTAATTTTCAATGTAAATAGGACACCAGGCTTACTGTGCAGCTATGGGAGGACCCTTTACTATGATTCCTTGTGGGTAGAAATATATCTCTTATGAGCCAATTTTTGCCTCATATCCGAATTAAACTGGGACATCAGGTGGGTCACTTTAATGAGAAGCATTTCCTTCCTTGGTCATTTAGAAAGTGCTTTGGAGAGCATTCCTCTTCCTTCCCTTAGCTGGCCAAATTTCACAACTTAAAAATGAGAGGAAAGTAAATGGGATAAACAGTTCCTTTAAATGACTCGGTGAGGGCAAACTTAAGCTGGGTAATTAAAATGCTAATCTTATTAAAGGTTTCTGGAGAGTGACTAGGAGCCAGTGTAGAGGTTAGTGAGGAAAGCACTGGATTTGAAATGAAAAAAAAGTGGGGTCCAAATCTCATTTCTTCTGCTTTTTACATGTGTGCCCTTGGCCAAGTCATGGAACTCTCTGAGCCTCACTTTCTTCATTTGTAAATATAAAATGAGGAGGACAAATTAACCAGTCTCTAAAGACACTTCCAAATCTAGCTCTCTAAGTGCTAGAGTCAAAAGGAAAACCAGAATCTCCTGACTCTAAATGTAGTGATTTTGAATGGATCCTGAGATTTAGGACATTTTTTGTTGACTATGAATGATGTAAAAGGAAAGAGAAGAATTGACTTGCTCATATTGCTGCTGTTCAGTCATTTCAGTCATGTCTGACTCTTCATGACCCCATTTGGGTTTTTCTCGGCAAAGATACTAGAGTGGCTTACCATTTCCTTCTTCAGTTCATTTTACCAATGAGGAAACTGAGTTAAGTGATTTGCCTAGTCACACAACTAGTGGGTGTCTGAGTCTTCCTGACTTCAGGCCCAGCATTCTATCCACTTCGCCACCTAGTTGCCCATGACTTGCCTATGCTCACCTAGCAAATTCACAGCAAAGACTGGGTCACTTAGAATTCAGGTTGAAAGAAGAAAGTCTAGAGGGTACCTATTAGTGGATGTCAGACACACAGGAGCTTTCTGAAGTAGTATGTTGGGCATATATGTGCAAAGTGGGTCTTTTTTTTTTCTTTCTTCACATTTTCCCTTTCAACTGAAGTTTTCAAATGTTATCCTCATCTATCTCACAAAAGGTATCTGTTCTCACATATCTTGTAAGCCTTAAGAGGAAAAGGGAAAAAAATTTCTATTGTACAATGAAAATTTTTTGGCAAATCATGAGCTAACAAAATCCTAAAACATTCTTTATTAGAGAAAAACAAAACTAAGGACAGATTGTTTCATCATGAATAACTAACAAGGTGATTCATATGTGAAAACTAATTGTTTGGACCACAATTCATCTGATGGAAAAGCAGAAATAGCATTTTCCCCAATTAATAGTATTTTATTTTTTCCAATTACACATAAAGATAGTTTTCAACATTCATTTTTATAAGATTTCGAGTTCCAAGTTTTTCTCCCTCCTTCCCTCCCCTTCCCACTTCCTAAGACAGCAAACAATCTGATACAGGATATACATGTACAATCACGTTAAACATAAGAAATAACATTTTCAAATCAATCAGATAGTCCTGAGATGCCATGAAACATTTCCAAGGCTATGAGTCAGAACACCTGGGCTATAGTCTCAGCTCTGCTACTCATTAGCTGTGTGACCTTGGGCAAATTACTGGACCTCAGTTGGCTTCAATTTTCTAATCTATATAATATAATAATAGCTACCATTTACATAGCACTTGGGGCAGCTGGGTGGCACAGTGCTCAAGAAGTCAGACACAGCTGAAAATGACTGAATAACAACAACATATAGCACTTACAATGTGCCAGGCACGATGCTAAGCACTTTACAAATATTAGCTTATTTGATCCTCACAACAACCCTGGGAGGTAGGTTCTATCATTATCCCTATTTTATAGTTGAGGAGACTGAGGCAGGCAGTGCTTAAGTGACTTGCACAGGATTACATAGCTAGTGTCTGAAATTGGATTTGAACTCAAGTCCTTCTAACTCCAGGTCCCATGTTTTATCCCCTATACCACCTACCTGCCTCTTAATGGAAACTGAATGATCGCTAAAGTTCCTACCAGTAGTAACATTCTTTGAGATGGTTAACTGTTGCTTATCTAGTAAGGAAAGGATATTATCACTGCTTAAGAGCTTCCTGGATACTAATCCACAGGGGAATTTTCCATGCTTTGACCATCTAAGAGTCTGAAGACATAGCTTTAGAGATGGAAGGGATGTTAGAAATTGTTGAGTCCAATTTTCTCATTTTGCAAGAAACTGAGGCCCATAGAAGTTGAGTGTTTTGTCTGAGATCATATAGGTGGTAAGTGACAAAGCTAGAATTTAAATCCAGGTCTTCTGACTCCAAAAATAACATTTCTCTCCAGTCAATATACACTTTGCCCTCTTTTTCCAACACTTTTTGACAATTCTCTTGAATGATTTCCTGAAGCATGGCACTCATGGTGTTCAGTCAAGTAGAGTATTGAATTTGGAGACAGAAGCACCTGGATTCCAATTCAGCTTCAGATATTTGCTAGCTGTGTGACCTTGAATAAGTCACTTAAACTCTCTAGACTTCAGTTTCCTCAACTAGAAAATGAGAACATTTCACTCCATGACCTCAAGGCTTCCTCCTATCTCTAAACCTACGATCCTTTTGTAAGAGAAGGGGATGCGATCCCCACTTCACCTATCAGTTGATTTGGCCACAGAATGAAATTATATCTGATCAAGTTTTCATATGTAAACAAGAAGTGTTTACATCCTGATCCCTTTATGATGTGCAAATACTTCCCTAATTGGGTAAAGAAGAGAATCATGCAATTATTTGAGCAAGCAGGTTAGCCACACTTCTGGAAGTTCTAAGTGACCGGGATCTGGATGAGTTAGAGGTTGAGCATGGGAAACATTGCAAACTAGGAGCTGTCTATGGAGGTGACTCCTGCTGCGAAGAGGAGGGAATTTTCTATTCTCTTCCCCCACATCAGTCATGTAGTTTTGAAGAGGAACTATTGGAGCCAGCAAGAACCACTGCGTCCAACGGGAAGGAGAAACAAACACTCCAGATAGACTCCATAGATCCAGAAAGATAGTCATTTGATGGAGGAAGCAGCTTCTAGGAGTGTGATTCCCATCAAAAGAGAAGGCTGGCTATGGAATCAAGAGAGGAACAAAACCTGGGAACCCAACAGAGATAATGCACTCAAGGGGAAGTTTTGAGAAGATAACACAAGGAAAGAATACTTCTAGCTCCTGCAGTACCAGGAATTGTGAGTTGCCTATATATCCTATGCATGTGCTTCACTCCCACTGTGATCTAAGCTTGAGTTCACTCCTGTAATGAAAGTTGTGTGTATTTTGTAGGATAATGTGCCTCATGTTTATGGGGAGGATGCTATGTATCCATTGTTCTTACTGTTCTATGGGCTAATTATGCTACTGGCTGATTGTTCACAGGAAGCATACTGGTGGGGACTCATGAAATATAGAGTTAAAAGAACAGTCCTAAAAGGTTACCACTAGAAACTGAGTTAGCAGCTGCCCCCCTGGATATCCACCCAATAAGTTGAGAGAGTATCCCAGAAGGCATACTACACTACAATCCTATGATAATGTTTTTCTAGAAGGCCTTAGATTTCCTCTTTCATACTATATTCAAATGTGATTTTATTATTATGGAGAGATCTCATGAGTTCTTCCAATCTCGTTGTTGTTATGATTATTTTTCTGTTGTCTCATGCTACCTTTGTTCTGCCTTTTACCCAAAGGTACCCTTCAAGATCCAACTTAGACTCTGTGTATTCAATGGAGCCTTTCCTAAGGTAAGAAAACGACCTTTTCCCCTAGAATATTTCACAAAACTTTTGGCTTATCTCTCATACACCTATTATGTTCTAATTTTTAATTAAACTTTTTAAATTAACAAACATCTATTTATTCTCCCTTTTACCTCTCCTCTACATTGAAAAAAAAGGAAAATTAAATTAAATCCTTGTAGTGAATATGTATAGTCAAGCAAACTAATTCCCACATTGGCTAGGTCCAAAAAAAAAATATGTCTCAATCGGCACATTGAGTCTATCACATCCTTGTCTGAAGGCAGGTCGCATGTTTTAACGTGGGTCCTCTGGACTCATGATACATTCTAATTTGAATTGAACTTATTCGTGTCCTTACTACTAGATTACAAACTCCTAGAAGACAGGGATCATGTCATGGTTTTTTTTGTTGTTTGTTTTTTTTTTTTGTCTTTGTAAAAAATGATCCAGCATGTGATCATAAAAATCACAAAATCTCATAAATGGAAGAGACCTGAGAGGTCATCTAGCCCAAAACATACCGAAACAAGAAATCCTTCTATACTATATAGAAGAACTTATCATTACCTCCTGAAACATCACCCTTTAGACTAGACCTCCATAGATCATGGGCCCCCTCTATGGAGGAGCTTCATATACTACTCAAAATTTTGTGGGAGAGAAAAAAGGAAATGAGATTAGTCTGACACAACTACTCTTGATGAAATCATGTTGGCTATTGGTGATCACTGCTTTCTTCTCTAGATATTCATTCACTATCACTTTAAAAGCACCTGTTAGAATTTTGTCAGGACCTGAAGTCACACTCACTGGCCCATAAGTCATACTCACTGGCCTTCTCTCCCCTTATTTGGAAAACTATGGCAGCATTTGCCCTTTTCCAGTCCTTCAGGTCCTTTCCCATTCATTCAACATGAGCTTTCCAAGATTACTAACAGTGGCTAGTAATCATATCCTGCAGTTCATTTAATATACAGAGATACAGTTTATATGGACGTGATGACTTAAACTCATCAAAGGCAATCAGCTGAGTCCTCTCTTACTCTCTCTATACTTAGTTTCAGATTGAACTTTCTATTAGTCATTTTTATTCTGTTCTTTTCAGTCCAGAAGTTATTATCCTTGGCAAAGGGAATAAATGTAACAGAAGATTTAATTAGCTTTGTCTTTTCTCAATTATCCATTCACCATTCCTTTCACCTCAAGCAATTTATCTTATCCTTTCTTCAATCCACAAGATAGGAAAAAAATTTATTGTTGTCAATAGCTTTCCTTGCCAGCCTCAATTCATTCTGATCTTTAGCTCTCCTAAAACTATTCATATAGGAGATTGCTACATGCTTGCATTCATCCCATTTTCAGACTTTAATTTTCTCTTCTCTAAATGTCTTTAAAATCTAAATGGGTTGATGAGTTGCTTGTACAGCCACATCGCTCTCTTTAGACGACTATCTCTTGTCCTCGTCTTTAGAAATGTTTCTCTTTGTGACTTAATTTTCTCTTTTTCTATGTCACACATTATAAAATGGAGTGGTCACTTTCACCCAAGGTTCCCATCATTTCTACCCCAGCCATCAGTTCCTTCCTGATGGTGAGGACCAGGTCCGAAACAACAGTTCCTCTTGATGTTTATTTCACATTTTGAAGAATGAAATTATCACTAAGGCAAGATAGAAAAATTCTATTCTGCTTTTGGTAGACAAAGAGTGTTTGTGGCTATCTGGATAATTGAATTCCCCTTCATTACTATAGCATGTCTTTGTTTTATTCTTATGAACTGTTTCACAAACTCTTTGTTCATGTTTTCTTTCTGTACTGGGGAGATCTATGATATACTCCCATGACAATTTTTCATCATCTCTGCCTCTAATCTTCACTTGAATGCTTTCCACAACGCTTCCCTCATTTACTAGATATCCTCAAATGAGAAATTACAAATCTGAAACTTATAGGAACTTCAGAAACCATCTAGTTGAAACCTCTCATTATATAGATAAAGAAACTGAAGCAAGGGAGGCTGACTTGATCACACATGTGGAGGGCCTCATCTTCCTCAAGCACATGTATGACCATATCATCTTCCCCAGCCCACCCACTCACTGAATAAACTTCCTGGCTCCCTATAACTTCAAGGATGAAAAATCATTCAAAGTCCTTCATAACCTGGCTTCCTGCTACTGTTCCAGTCTTTGGATACGTTAGTTCCCCACCCAACCATATACTCTATTATCCAGAGACCCTGGCCTCCTTGCTGCCCCTCAAATAAGACATCTTGTCTCCTAGCTCTGCATTTTCACTGACTTTCCCCCATGCCTAGAATTCTCTCCCACCTCATCTCTGCCTTCTGTCTTCTCTGCCTTTCTTCAAGTCCCAGCTAAAATCCCACCTTCTGACAGAAGTCTTTCTGGATCCCCCTTAACACTACTAGTACTTCCTTCTGATGATTACCTCCAATTTATTCTGTCTAAACCTTGTTGGTCCGTAGTTATTTGCATGTTGTCTTTGCAGTATACTAAATGGTTCTTGAGAAGAGAGATTGGATATATTTTACATCCCCAATGCTTAGAGATGTTCCTAGCACATAATAGGCATTTAATAAATACTTGTTGACCTGACTTTAGAGAAAGACAACCTTTCATGACCCTCAGAAACATAAACCCCAAATTTCGGCCTCCTTGCCTATTTTATGTTGCCATGGGAAAGAGCCCCAACAATTCTAACTTTGATTTTTCTTCCTTTTTTTTAAAAAAAATTTTAAGCTTTTATTTAATGTTTTATTTCCCCAATTACATGTAAAGACAAATTTTAAAATTAGTTTTTAAAACTTTGAGTTCAAAATTCTCTCCCTTGAAATTGCTTTAAAGCAAGCAATTCAATATAGGTTATACATGTGTGGTCATGCAAACCATTCATGTTAGTCATGTCATGGAAAAAAACATAAACAAGAAAAAAACTCAAGAAAAATAAAGTTTAAAAAAGTATGCTTCAATCTGTATTCAGACACCATCAGTTCTTTCTCTAGGGTTGGAGAGCATTTTTTATCGTAAGTGCTTCAGAATTGTCTTGGATCGTTGTATTGCTGAGAATAGTTGTTATTCACAGCTAATCATTCACTCCCTCCTCATACATCTTTATCAAAGTAAGGTGTGTTTGTGTGTGTGTGTGTGTGTGTGTGTGTTTACCACGTAGGTAACGTGTATCAAAATGCATCTTTCTAGATGTAGTTTGAAGGAAGACATGAATAGATAGCTCTCCTGTACCCTGCCCCTCTTCTCTAAGCCAGACTTTGATTCCTGCCAGCAGGGAAAGCAGGAGATTGGAGGGAGTCACAAGTTACAATATTGCTTTTACTTTGTACATAGTACATTTCACTTTGCATCAGCCCATGCAAGTCTTTCCAGGTTTTTTTTTTTTTGAGAGCATACTGCTTATCATTTTTTATAGTGCAATAGTATTCTATCATAATCTCATACCACAACTTATTCGGCCATTCACCAATTGATGGTCATCCCCTCAACTTCTAATTTGTTGCCCCCTGAAAAGAGCTGCTATAAATGTTTTTGTACACATAGGTCCTTTTCCTTTTTTTATCTCTTTTAGGTTACTTGATTTTTCTTTAATGAGCAATCACATTCCCAAAATAATGCAATTATTTCTTAAAGGGATGACATAACAGTAATCTGGTCATGCTGAATGCAGCCAGTGAGGATCACACATCTTGCTAGGGTTGGCTCTCTTAGGGCAAAGCTGATGCTTCTGGGCTTGGTACCCAAAATCCAGTAGAGACCTAGCTTACTATGACACAAACTTAACTGAGTCATCTGTGGGATCATTCATAGAATCACAGAATCTGAAAGTTGGAAGGGTACTCAGAGGCCATCAGTTCAACTCACACATGAAAGGACTCTGCATTATAACATACCTAACAAGTAGCTATGCAGATTCTATTTCAAAAGTTTTTATCTTTTTTTGTGTCACAGAACCCATTTGGCAATCTGGTGAAACCTATGGACCATTCTTCAGGAAAATGGAATAAATGTATAAAATGAAATACATATGATGGCAAAGGAAAAATAATTATGTAAAAATACAGTTATCAGGGGCAGCTAGATGGTGAAATAGACAGAGTACTGGCTCTGGAGTCAGATGGAGCTGAGTTCAAATTTGACCTCAGACAGTTACTACTAGTTATAAAAAATATTTTTTAAAAAAAAGTTCATGATGCAGATCAAAGCATACTATTTGCTCTTTTTTTTTCCTTCTGTTTTGTTTTGTTTCCTCTTTCTTGTGGTTCCTTCTATTGGTTCGAATTCTTCCTTACAACATGACTAATGTGAAAATATGTTTAATAGGAATGTACATGTATAGCCTATATCAGATTGCCCTCCGCCTTAGGGAGGGAGGTGTAGGGGGAATTTAAAACTCAAAAGCTTATGGAAGTGATTATTGATAAATCAAAATAAATTAATAAAAAAAAAAAGTTCAGAGACTCCAGGTTAAGAAACACTATTCTATTTGAAGTTCTCCAATGAAAGGAAACTCACTCCCTCCTCATTCTACATACCCGCTCATTCTACTTTTGGATAGCTTTAGTTGTTAGGAAGTTTTTCCTGACATCAAACTTACATTTTTCTGTTTGCAACTTCTACTCATTGTTACGGGTTTGGCCCTCTGGAGCCACACTTAAGTCAGCCCTTCAAATACTTGAAGACAGCTCTCATGTCCCCCTGAGTCTTCTTTTTGCCAGGCTAAATTTCACACTTCCTTCAACCAACCTTCATAAAACACAGAATCAAGGCCCTTCACTATCTTAGTTGTCCTCCTCTGGACACTCTCCAGTTTTCCAACATCCTTCTTAAAGATATTTGGAACTGAACACAACTCTAAAAGCAGTTAAGTGGTGCACTAGATGGACCTGGGGCCTGGAGTCAGGAAAACCTGAGTTCAAATCCTACAGCCTCAGACTCTTACTAGCTGTGTGATCTTGGGAAAGCCAATTAAATTCAATCTACCTCAGTTTCCTCAACCATAAAAGGGGGGTAATAATAGCACTTTCCTCACCAGGTTGTTGCAAAATGAGATAATATTTGTAAACAGCTTAGCACAGTGCCTGGCACATAGTAGATGCTATATAAATGCTTATTTCCTTCCTTCCAGATGAGGTCCGATGAGGGCAGAGTACTACAGGACTATCACCTCCCCATTCTTTAAAGCTATGTCTCTCTTAATGCAACTCAAGATCCCATTAGCTTCTTTTGTCTACCTTCTCATACTACTGATCGTATTGAGCTTGTAGTCCACTTAAAACCTCAGATTTTTTTCAGAATAACTGCTATCTAACATGCCTCCTTCATGTGCCCAAGTATAAGACTTTATATTTATCCCTATTAAATTCATCTTATTGGGTTCATCCTAATGCTCCAACCTGTCAAGATCCTTTGGGATCCTGACTCTATCCACCATTGCGTTAGCCACCCCTCTTAGCTTGGCATCATCTGCAAATTGATATGCATACCTTCTATAAGAAGCAGATCTAAAGTCAACACTCTTTTAGATCAGGTTCAATTTGGGAACAAAATAAGGCACTTGTAAGTCATTGAACAATTAACAAAAAGATTTACTTTACCCTAATACAACAAGGATAGGCAACAAGGATATAATGGCACTTAGCTTTCAGTGTTGGTAGAACCAGCCTCCCTCACCTCACTACGGAAATGCTTTTGGTCAATAGGTCTTTAGGGTATAGCAACTCACATGATCTCAGGCACCCACCAAGTCTGAGAAGCTCAGACTCTTTGTGACTGGGACACTTTTATGAACTTAAGTAACCAAGCCAGGGCCAGAGCCAATCAATTGCTGGAACTTAGTTGTGTCTTTTTAGGGAAAGCTAATCTCTGTCACTGGAGGAAGGGAGAAGGGTAGGCCTAACCCATGTTGCAGATAAATATTAGCTCTATCATACCATTTATGCCTTTATCAAAGTAAGGTATGTTTGTGTGTGTGTGTGTGTGTGTGTGTGTGTGTGTGTGTGTTTACCACGTAGGTAATGTGTATCAAAATGCATCTTTCTAGATGTAGTTTGAAGGAAGACATGAATAGATAGCTCTCCTGTACCCTGCCCCTCTTCTCTAAGCCACATTTTGATTCCTGCCAGCAGGGAAAGCAGGAGATCGGAGGGAGTCATAAGTTCATCTACTCTGCTCTTCTCAAAGAGGGGATACTGGGCTAGAATTTTATTTATCTACCCCCCTAAGTATTACTATTCTAGAGGAAATAAGCTTAGGTTCAAACTTTGCTCCTGATTGCTACCTCTGAACAGGAAAAGAGTACCCCAAGCTATATATCCAAGGCTTGACTCCCTTCTCACCAAATGCCATTACACAAAGACCACATTTAGCTAATGGTAAATAAACCCATTTATTCAAGCTCATGGCAAGCAGAAATCAGAGAAGTAATACAGATAAGAACATACTAGATAATACACAAAGTGAATGTGCTCTCCCACTGGGAGCAAGATATCTCAGATCAGCTAAGAGAGAGAGAGAGTCCCAGATCTTTCCCAAGAGGGAGGACCTTGATATCTCTAGTGTAGTAAGCGGGGATAGGAACATGATCAAGGTGCTGACTCTTCTATATGTTGATTTCTTCCCAGAGCCTTTCTTTCTCTAAGGAATTCTTCCTGAAGAGAATCTGGAACCACATGCCTTCTCTCTTGAAGCTGGAAGTCAAAAGACCAAGATCTCTCCAGTAGCCCTTGCCAACTTCACCCCTCATGCTAGTACTGAGCACTAAGCAATCAATCTCCACTAATGAGAAGAATTTTATGCAACTGGGCTTCAACCTCTGTTTACACAAGTCATTGATAAAAGTGTTACACAGCACAGGACCAAGATCCCTTGGATATTCCACTAGAGATCTCGCAACACATTGACTGTGAACTATTAACCAATACTCTTTGAGTCCAGCCATCCAACCACTTCTGAATTCATCTGATTGCATTGTTACCTAATCCAAATGTCTCCATCTTCTCCATGAGAATGATGCAAGATACTTGATCAAAAACTTTGCTCAAATCTAAGAAATAATCCGCACAGCATTCCCTTTATCTACTACTTTAGCAATACTGTCAAAAAAGGAAATGACATCTGGCATGGCCTCTTCTTGATGAAACCATACCAACTCTTTGTAATCACTGCTTCCCTTTCCAGATGTTTGCCAATATCTCTTTAATAAGTCATTCTAGAAATATACACCTCTTTCTGAACCTTGAGTTCATTACTTTTCTATCAGGAAGTGGGCAACATCTTCCTCACAGGTCCTCTGAAAATGTAATTGGGCATTATTCTAATCAGAGTTCTTAAATCTTTTGGAGTTGTTTTTCCTCATTATTTTGTCATATAAATTTTCCTAGTTTTGCTCACTTCATTACTGTGAATCAGTTTATACTTCACAAATACTGCCTAAAATCATTTTTATCATTTCTTATGATAGAAAAATATTCCATTATATTTGTATATCAAAATTTGTTCAGTCATTCCCTGATTGCTGGGCATCCTCTTAGATTCCAATTCTTCACTTTTCTCTTTTTTCCCCCAATTTTTAATCCCTGTTTCTGAGTCGGGGAGTCTGTTTGGTTTGTGACTGAATTTTGCTTGTGATAATCCCTCTCTAGTATTATCATCTCATAACAACAATAATGATGATGATGGTGATAGCTAGCATTTAAAATTGTGTTTTAATGTTTGCAAAGCAAACATTTATATATGTTATTTCATTTGACTTTCACAACCCTGTGAGGTATGTTCTGTTATTACTCCTATTTTACAAAGGAGTTTGAGCAAGATTAAATGACTTGCTCAAGGTCACACAGCAAGTAAGTATCTGAGGCAGGATTTGAACTCAGGTCTTCCTCACTCCAGGTCTAGCTCTCTATCACTATGCCACCTACCTGCCTCTCCTCCCTCTTTCCACCTGTTTCTCTGTTGAATTAGGTGTATTTCTACACCAAATTGTGTGTGTGTGTGTGTGTGTGTGTGTGCATTACGAGCACTTGTGCACAGGTACACACACAGAGTACCAGGAATGCATGTGTCATCCACACACCTTTAATCCTCCTTTGTTCCATCCCTCTTTCCAAGGTGTCATGCTACCTCCATGGTGTCTCACTTGAGATCGTAAGATCATAAAATCAGAATTGGAAGAGACTTTAAAGGTCACTTAATCTGATCCCCTTATTTTATGGAGAAGGAAATTAAGGCCCAAAGAGATTAATTGACTTGTCCAAAGTTGCACTGGGAGTAAGATGCAGAAGGCAGGATATGAATCCAGGTCCTCTGACTTGAAATCCAGAGCTCTTTCAGCTACATCATGCATGTGATGTATGTCTTTGAGCGTGATCTTACCGAGCTAAAAGGAACCTTAGAGATCATCCACTTTCCATTTTAGAGATGGGGAAACTGAGTCTCAAAGAGGTGAAAAAATTTGTTAAACATCACTCTGTCACTTTAGTCGGTGGCAAAAGAGGAACTAGAAGCTAGGAATGGAGGGGGCCCTGAATTTGGAGTGGCAGAACCAGGGATCCAAATCCCAGCTCTGCTACTTACTGCCAATGTGGCCTTGGCCAAATCTCTTAACCTCTCTGGTCCTCTGTTTCCTCCACTATAAAATGCCAGTTGAGGAGGATGTAGAAGTAGAGCTCTTAGGTCCCTTCCAGTTCCAAATCCTATGATCCTGAGGGTTCTCGTCGAATATGCCACATTCCTTTCTTGTACTGAGTGCGCTGATAAGGTGGGTATTTGTTCTTTTGCCCAGTTCCATCCAACATCTGAAATTAGGCTATTTGCCTAGATCAAGGAACCTTCTGAGGAACAATACCAGGAAACTCTGGCTGACCTGTGTATTTTGGTCACAAAGAGAACCTAGGGACAAAGTATGAATGAAGCACTGGCCTGATCATTATTCCTGGGCAGACAACTGAAACTCTACTCACAGTGAATGCATCTTCACTTGCAGAGTCAACACGGTATCTACTCATGCAAAATTCAGCACTTTTCTGTGTGTGTTTGTGGGGACGATTGAACATTTTTAGCAACTTCTTCAGAAAGCGTTTTACCTCTTCTCAGCACCCCAGATGGTGTGACCTTCTGCAATTCGGGGAGTAGCCTCTATTCTCTAGGGACCCAGATTGTCACATTAGTCATATGGGAAATGTTCCCACAGGCCTCCCTTTGAGAACCCTACTAACAGGAGCTAGTTAATGATTACAATAGACTTTTAAAATATTCATTTTTCTTAAAGCTGGAAAAGCAAAGCCAACCTCTCTAGCACCAGACAGACTTATGAACTTGGAATAAAGTTGACCAAAGTGATTTTTGCAATTCGAGAGGCTGAGTGGTATAGGGAACAGTAAGCAAAAAGAACTGGGGTTCAAGTCTTTCCTCCGATGCATACCAGTTGTTGACCTTTCAGTGCCCCTAGGAAACCCTCTAAGGACTTTGAGTTACCGATCTGCATTGTTGGATGCTTCTTCACATCAATAAATTCACAGCTTCAATAATGGCTGTAAATTACAGCCTCTCATCTCTAATAATCAAATAGATCTGTGATCTCATTGATCTGAATGTTACCTTTAATTGTGCAGATCAAAGTTTATTCATGTCTGCCCATCCTGTAGGATTCTTCTCCAAACTACAAGCAAATTTTTAGAAATTAACATAATAACAGCTAGGTGGGACAGTAAATAGAGTGCCTGAAGTCAGGAAGACTCATTCACCTGAGTTCAAATCCAGTCTTAGACACTTACTACCTGTGTGACCCTGGGCAAGTCATTTAACCCTGTTTGCCAAAGTTTCCTCATCTATAATATAAGCTGGAGAAGGAAATGTCAAACCACTCCAGTATCTTTGCCAAGAAAACCCCAAATGGGGGCATGAAGAGTTGGACATGACTAAAAAATGACCCAACTAAACATAACAGAAAAAAAAAAGAATAGCTAAATAAGATCAGGATTCATCATTCTCTCCTTTGGATGAGTGATGAAAGGAGATGAACAGTTTCCAAAAGAAGAACTGAAAACTGTAAATGAGCAAAGGAAAACACACTCCAAATCACTAATAATAAGAAAAATCCAAATTAAAAAAACTCTAAGGCCTTACACCTTCTCAAAGGCAGCAAAAAAGGAACGAGTATACAGCATGTTGGAGTGGCTGTGGGAAGATAAGGACACAATTCACCTTTTGTGGAAGGATAAATTGATGCAATTTTTCTGTACAATAAGGCAGAATTATGCAAGAAAAGTGACTAAACTAATGCAACTTTTCAGTATAAAATTTGAGATTTTACAAGAAAAATGACTAACCCATTCATCCTTTGACTAAGCACAACACTTAAACCCCGAGGAGGTCAAAGGAGGTCAAACATAGACCCAATCTATACCAAAATATTTATGCAGGGGTTTTTTTGTGATAACAAAGAATTAGAAGCCCACCCATAGGGTGCCCATTCATTGGTAAAGGACTCAACAAACTCAGGTATGTGAACTCCGTGGAATATTATTGTGCAGTAGAAAATTTAAAAAAAAAAAGAGAAATATTAGAGGAACCAAGGAAGAATGTATGTGAATTGAATCAGAGTGAATTAAGTAGAAAAAGAACAATGGTTATAATGACTACAACAATGTAAGTAAAGAGGATCATCAAAAGGAAGTCAAACTCTGAGTAATGGAAAAAACAGTAATAGTCCCTGAGGAGAGATAATGAAACATACCTTCCTCCTCTGGGTAGAGAGGTGTGGAACAACTCTAGCAGAGTGCTCCATACATTCTTGGATTAGGTCACTGTGTCAGTTATTTTTGCTCAACTTTTTTTCTTTGGTAAAGAGGGGGTTCAGTTGGAGAAGGAATTCCTAAAATAACTATAATGTGAAAACAAAAGGCATCCAAAAAATAAACCAAAAAAATGGGTTAATATAACAAAAAATAAATACCAAGACAAAACCTATAGCCCAGAATTTAATCTCTTCATGGCCAAAATCTACATGAACCACTTCCCCTCCTTCTTTTAGATGTGAGCTGTTTTTTCAATCATTCAACAAATATTGAGCAACTACTGTGTATATGACACTGTGGGAGAAACAAAGAAAGATATCTCTGCCCTCATGGAGTTTTCACTATATTAAATGCCTACTATGTGCCAGGCACTGTGAAATTTATTTAAGTGAAAAAGATAGTAATATATATTTCTGTCATAATACTGACATTTATATAGTGCTTCAAAATTTACAAAGTCTTGTTCATCTCTTTTGATCTTTGGAACAAATCTTTATGGTGAATACTAGAAGTGTTGTTTCCATTTGCAGGTGAAGGAGCTGAGGCTCAAAGAGGGTTAAATGACTCTCCCCTGATCACATTGCTAGCAAATATAGGAGGTAGGATTTAAGCCCAGGCCTCTCCTTACCTGAAGTCAATAGGTCTTTCCAGAAGGCCAAGATGCTTTGATAAACCAGTGGTTCATCAGTGTGGTTACTACCTATCCCCTCCATACTTTCTCATCCCGTGCCTGTTTTCTCATAAATACTCGTTAGAAGATCTACCCAACACGGTAGGTGTATTATTAGCATATGTTGTTGCTGCTTTTGCCTTTCTTTGTATTCTGAAAGCTTAGAATAGTGCCTGGTACATAGTAAGCAATTGATAAGTGCTATCTGACTGTCTGGCTAAGCATTTCTTATATTCTGTCTCTTCAAATAATAAAGTATACACAGGCATCATGGCATGGTTGATGGAGGGTCAGGCCTTAAAGTTAAAAAGACCTAGGTTCAAATCCTTCCTTTGATACAA